CACTGTCTGTTTTCCGGTCCAGAAATTGAGCAATCAGTGTCACAAGCTATTGGACTCGGCGGCAATCCAAGGTGTGAACATGGTCCTGGGTATTCCACTAGAGTGTTGTCATGTTAAGTCCAAAGCTGTGCATCAACTAGCGCAGCGCACACAACATGCGCAGGCTGCACGATGCCGACCATGGTGTTCCACGCCCTCCTCTCCCTTTTCAACTGCGCACAGAATCCGTGCGCTGCTGACTTGCGACACCTTGAGCGTTCGTTGGCTGCCCCACTAGTGGGGTGTTTTCTATGCGCTCCTCTCCTTTCCCAGCTGGGCAAGGAATCCACGCGCTGCTCATTCTCCACGCCGCTAGCGTTCTCTCGCTGGCCCACTGGTGGTGAATGCTCACCACAATGCGCTCGGGGCAGTCCACGACGCCGTCCAGCACGTTGAGCAGTCCGGCCAGGTTGAGCTTGTCGTCATCCTTGACTTCGAGCATGCGCGAGAGCTGGGTTTTCGTGAGCGCGGATGCGGCGAGGGCGGGCAGCATGGGCGCCTCTTTGTCAGGCTGCGCTTTCGATTCGCGGTCAAGGACGACGTCACTGGCGGCGTCAATGTCTTCCTGCTCGAACAGAGCCACAGCCAGGGGATCAAACAATGCATTGGAAGGCCGACGGAGGGTGGTACTTTTTGCTTTGCGACACGTGGAGAACATCACATAAGCTGTCCGGAGGATCGCGTCAGGTTGTGGCGCTGCGGGGCAGTCAGGAAAGCGTAGGCACATTGTTGGCGAACGATCTTCTCAAATGCGGTGTTAAATCAGGGATGACGCAAGGACAAAATGCAGACACAGGCAAAGGGAAAGGATCCAAAAGAAAACGTATCCACGAGGAAGCGTGATGGCGACCAGATTACTTTCACGAAATTCAAGCAATCAGTCCCACAACAAACATCAGTCTGGGGAAGCTGGGAAGGAGTTTCGGAAACAGCAATCAATTGTCCAGATGCCCTCCATGTCCCAGCCAGCCACGACAACAAGGGACGGCCAGGACCTCGGCCTTCTGTGCGTGCGCACCATGACAAAGATCGTCTTCCTGAACGGCAGCCTCGTGGCCCTCTCCTCCCCCTCCACCTTGTACTCCTGATCGAACACCAGGTCGATGAGCTCCTGGTTGGTCTTGACGCGGCTGAGGGGAACGGACACGATGCTCCTGTCCGTGTACTGAGCGATGGCCTTGATCAGCGACGTCTTCCCCGTGCCCGGCGGCCCGTGGAGCAGGATCCCGAGCTTTTGGGGGTAGCCCGGGATGGCGAACTTGCCGGTCCTGTTCATAAACCTGTCCACCAGCTGCAGGAGGGCTTCCTTTTCCGGGTGGAAGAAGGTGGCGAAGGTCTTGTTGTCGCTCAGCTTGTAGCGCTTGAAGAGCATGGCGTTGTCGGCGGGCGCCGCCTCGCCGTCGTCGTCTTCGTCCTTTTTCTTTTTGGATGGGGAGGAGGAACGGAACAGGGGTGTGTAGAGGTGCCTGAGAGGCCGGCCAATGCAGAGTCATCACATATATTTATTATATGTACATTACTATGTTACACCATTTTGTATTATTGCATTGTATTACTACTGTCTTATTATATTGTTATAGTACTGTTTAATACGTTATTATATAATTAGGGTATTTAGGGCTGTGATGGCTGAGGACGAGGCGTCTGTGAAAGTGTGGATAGTCGCCGCGCCGGCGGGCGCCAAGTTCGCGTAACGTTGAAGAGTGCGGCCAATGTCAAAGCGGCCCTAATGAAGGATCTGCCTTTGTTGCTAGGCACAAATTTCCCCAGTTCGCGTTTTGCGTGCTGTATGCATAGTAGATGGATAGCGAGATCTACAGTCGCGCAGAAAACATTATGTCGATTGCACATTATGGGCCGCTTCGTGCATGGTGCATCCCCGATGCACGATGCTCATTGTTTTGCAACGATTATTCACTTGCAAATAAGCATGGAAGGCGCATTGCTTCTTTCTCTGATTGCAAGTTATCACGTAACACTTGAAATCCATCTGCATTGAGCCTTCGCTGGGCCTGTGCGAAAGGGCGCCTGGTCGATTGGCAATTGTCCAGGAAGTGTATTAGAAAACCGACGCTTTCGATATTTCATTACAAGTTAACACCGGGCGCCTCAGTGCCCAGACCTCTACACCCAGGCGGAGACGCCAACGCTTCAAAAATGTCACCAGGGCCTTCAGGCCCTCCTTCCAGATTCGCGCAACGCTCTTTCATCACCTGCAACGTGGGAGGGCCCCGCTTGTCTTTCAAATGCAAGTTTCACCTCAAAGTTCAAATACAAAACCAAGGCTTAGCGCACAACCTGGAACCGGCGTGCAACCCCGCCCACCTGTGATTGGTTTTGCGCTCCTCCATTGTTTTGGCGTAGTACGAATATGCCTTGTTGATGAAAGCGTCAATTTTATCAACACCCTCGCTCACGTCGCTCCTCAGCCAGATGGTCTTGCGGATCTTCGTTCTTATTATCTTGTCCCCCTTCTCGCTTTCGTCCTTCTCCAACCTGCAGACGCCGATCCCTCAGGGCAGCCATTCAAACATTCCAGACAACTTCTGTGACGCAGAAAGCACCGGAAAGGCACCGCCAAATATGGCCCCTGTTTAATGATATGGTTGCTCAACTGTTAGCGCACGCGTTACCAGATTAGTTACCATTAGACTATACAAAACTTCTGTTCAGTGCCAAAAAAATTACTAATCCGCGGGTACAGGTTTTGGAGGGACAATATCCTATTTGAAAGCGCACAGGGGTGAGGAGGAGCAAGACCTCCCGTACAGGAGATCAACGAATGGCTAACGCCTGAAGTTGCTGACATCCTGAAATCTTGATGTTTGGGCATGGAATTTCGCTCAGTGTTGAGTAAACGCTGTTCAGAGCCCGGCAGTGCTTGTCGTACTTTTCTCTTGCGTTATCATATTACAAGTGTCCCAGCTCGGCAGAAACACGGCGTCACTACGTGCCACAATGCAGGGCAGCTCTGCGACTATGCTGCCAAGGCACATAAATATGCACTGCAAAACGGCCATGTTTAGCTACTTACTGCATTTTCCTTGCAACGGAGTGTGGGGGATCGCCGAATTTTCAAGACTGATTCCCGAAGTCCTTCAGTGCCTCTTGGGCGCGGCTTAGCGATTTCCGACCGGTAAAAGTACACTTGGTGTATGCACTTGAAGAAGGCCCCCTGAGTGGGTTTCAAATGCCAAAATTGCGGTACATTGGTGGTTTTTATTATCACACGTCATATGACGTCCGCAGCACCACACGGGACTTGTCTCCGTACTACTCGAGCACTGCCTGGCGCCAAGCTGACAGGTTGGAAACGACCAGGAAGCGGGGGGCACAAGAGTTGGCTCCCCGTCCGCCCTGCAAAACAAAGGAAAGGAAATACCTACGTACAAGCAGAAAGGGGAAATGGAAGGTGGCAATCAAGAATGGGCTTGGACGCGGGCGCGCACCTCTTCATCCACAGCCCCCTCTCCACCTCGATCCAGTCGCGCTCCGGCGGCAGCGTGCAGATCTTCGACCGCTTCAGGTACTCCGCGTACGAGTAGTCGTCGGAGTCCGCGTCGGAATCATCATCATCGCCGTCGCCGTCGCCCTCGATGTTGGGGTTCGTCTCGAAGCCCCAGTTGCACACCAGCTTGAGCCCCGTGTTGCAGAACGGCGCCAGGCCGGGCCTTATGCTCTCCAGGTACAGCAGCACGGCCTCCTGCAGCACCTCGTTCTGGCCCGTGTCGTTCTCGTACCTCCAGTAGTAGCCGTCGCCGGCCACGTGCTCTATGGTACGGTAGTAGAACCGCCGCGACACCAGCCATCGTTCCAGGAAGTTGCGCAGCCACGCCGCCGCCTGGGGCGCCCGGCCCAGCAGCAGGGGCAGCAGCACGCACAGCAGGACGTCCAGGGCCGTGCTGCCCGTGGAGAGCTTGCTCATCACGCCGATCTGCGCGGCGGTGCTCGAGCTGAGCTCGTCGGAGATGTCGTCGAAGAGGGCGGCCATTGCCGAGGACCCCACCCGCGTTTTGGGGGAAGGGTGGGGACCTGCGCGACGGACAGGAATAGGAACGGAATCATGCCGTTGCGCCGTGGCGCGCGTTGCGTTGCGCGTAACGGGGCATTGGTGCGGGGATTGCGTGATCCGAGTCCGCCGGCGCTGCTGGAGATTCGCGGGTCCATTGCGGGTTGTCGCTTGGGGGCGGATCGCACAGTCCGGGGCCGGGATGTGGGTGAACGGGGCGCCGGTTGCTCCGGCCTTCTGGCACCACGCGAGCCAAGGCCAGGAGGCAGGGCACAAAACGCGGCTGAGCGGATATGCGTCGCGGAAAACGGACGCTGGAGCGATCGGTAGAGGGAGGAGGGGGGGCGATGGCGGGGCTTGCGTCGGGCCGGGCGCTCACCTGGAAGCCTTGCTTGCACTGGCGGACCCCGCGGGGGGGTGCCTCGCTGCAACCAAACCGTCGACCGGGCTTTCTAAGGGTTGCCGCGGTGTCAGGGCCAGTACTTTGCCAGATCAGGTGCAGAAGCCGGCCTGAAGCCATGGGGAGTGTCGGCGGCAGCTGGCGGCGTAATGGCGTAATGGCGTAATGGCCCCAGGCGAAGCGTCCCGTCACGGTCGCGGTGTAACCGGGCGGGACGCCTCCACCAACGACGGCTTGGGGGACAGATGGGGTTCATCTAGAATTGGGCATCCCTGCAAGCGCTGCCCTAGGGCTGCGCTCGCAGGCCTTGCTGGCAATTGTTTGAGGGAATGTTTCATCAACAGAGCGGCCGTTGGCTAGTGGACGATGCCCAGCGGTCCTGCCACTCGCGCAGCCAGACGCTGATGAGGGTTTGGAGCAATGTGGCAGTCGCTGGAAAACCCATGGCGGCCACGACCGGCAGCGGCGGGCTCACTCAACACGTGCCTTGCAGCCAGGGACAGTCCCTGCATGCTGAGAACACCTTGAACCCAGGCAGCCGGTACTACAGATGCGATCAGGCCACGTGTGCAATGCACACCCCCAAGACTGTCAAGGGCTTTATGCTCTTGATTGGACAAACCGTTGCATGTACAATGCATGGCTGAGCACTGCCCCGGGACGACGCAGGCTTGGTTTTTACGCCGTAAAAACTGATCGCATTTACGTTTTTACGCGTAAAAATAGTTTTCACGTTTTTACGCATATAAATGCGTAAAAATACGTAAATACAACGTAAAAAGTGCCAGGTGTACATAAAGACAGTACATACAGACTTACGGAGTCCGGAGGGTGGCAGCCAGAAGCCCTGGAAGGGGCAGAAAACGAGTTTTTGTCAAACACCATCATCGCCCTTGCCAAGGGCGAGGTGGACACTACGTTGCGGGTGTTGGATATGGCGGAGGACTGATCATTGTACGCAACTTTCATCGTGTAATCTGGGCGTCCCAGGGGGCCGTAAAAACGTAAAAATAGCCGTAAAAATAGGGTCTTTTGCAAATTTACGTTTTTACACGTAAAAACGTAAAAGTAAAAATGTAAACGTAAACGCAAAAACCAAGCCTGGGACGACGCATGTCATGGGACATTCTTGGTGTCAGATAAACCTCCGATCTCACGGCAATCGCCACAGGCTTGTTATTTACGGCGTAAACAAAGCGTCCATCTACGTTTCTATAAGTAAGCACGCATAAGAATACGTTGTTTGCGGCGTGGTCATGTGCCCTGGGTGTCCAAAATCGCCGTAAAAGTATGTAAATACAGTCGTAAAAATAGCCGCTTCTGTGTATTTACCTCTCCAAGCATAAGACGTGAACGTAAAATGGTGCTGTAAACGTAGGTAACAAGCCTTTCTAATACCTACCATTTCCGGACATGAAGGTTCATGGAGGTCATATGGTGTCCCTAACAACCTGAAAACAAACGAATGGAAATATAAAAGAAATCAAAAAATGACCTTCATAACATTCATTACTACATGTGCCTCCATACATGCTCTGTGGGCAGTGCTCTCAATGACAAGAACAATAAACACAACATGCGATGGGCATGAAGCAGCAAATGTCCCCCCGTGCCAGGGTGCAGGTCATCCCGGAACAGCGAGGGCAAGGGTTTGGAGAACCGTTCGCCTCCTGTCGATCGATGGGGACACCTTACTCGCGGGTGTCAGTGTCTTGGAACCCACTCGAATTTCGTTTCCTGTACGCCGTCCTATCAACCACTACCAACGAATGCGCTGCCATCCTTGAAAAACGTCAATTGAAATTGCAATTACTCGCCAGAAAGATGTGGCATGGCCGTAGCGCGTTGCTGTAGATCACGAGCATTCCACGTTGTGGGGTTGCACCGACACCTCCTTGCAGACGAACGGCCAACGGATACCGTGAAACTGTGCCTGGAAGTCCCAGCATTCCACGACGTGGTGCGGACGTTTTGCCGCTTCTTTGCAACGAGGGGCGATGGGTGGTGTGCATGGAACAAGTCCACATGTGTGAATGGCTATCGTTCTCATGATTCGCGTCTTCCCCAACCATTGTCTGCACGGAACCATTGGTCAGCACTTGTTCGGTTGTCCTTTTTCACCTGGGTTTTCTATCATTCGGCCTTTCTGGCTGCCCGCTTCAGCGCGTGATGGGGCAGTGGGTAACGATCTCTGCATTGAACTTCGGGTTCATCCATTCCAGGCGGGGTCGGTCGGCGATGAAATGGCCGCCACTCGCAATGGAATCAAAAGAATTAATTAAATGCCATGATCATACAATCCAAGCCCATGGTCATCTAGCGCTTGGTAACCTCTGCATCCGCAAAGCTTGAGTTTCTTAATATAAGGATGCCCTGGCAGGAGGGGCTTCCTGAATCGCCATTGCATTTCTGTCTAATGCTATAACACTTTTCTATTTCGTTCTCGTTTTCAATTTCTTTAGCGGTGCTTCATCATTCGTAATTCGTCGACTGCTCTACTCTAAAATCCTATCCCTTTCTACACCCATTTTCCTCTTCTCGAAATAATGTCCTGCAGACTACGCCCCCAACAGCCATGCCCAACACGTGCAGCAGCTTTCCACCACGCAAGAAGGGCAGAAGCCCCCTACTTTCACAAAAAAATCGCCCACAGCCAATATTTCTTGATTTTTTGTGACAATCAACGCGTAAATGTGCATGCACGGCCCCCAACGGCCTCCTACTCCTCCTGGCTGCGCACGCCCAAAGCCTGCTCAATGGCCTCCACGAGCTCCGGCAGCGTGTCGCCCTCCGCGCACATGGCCTCCAGCCTTGCGGGCGACAGGGCGCCGTCGGGCAGGGCGGCCCGCAGGGCTGCCTCGTCCTGTGGGCTGACGGGGCCGTAGTAGTGGGCAGCCATCTGCAGGGCCTCCTCGGCCCGCATGTTGCCCATGTGTATCTGCTTGTTGATGCGGCCGGGGCGAATGAGGGCGGGGTCCAGCTTCTCCGGGTGATTGGTGGTCATCACCTGCAAGGACAGCCAACGTCGTCATTTTTTGTGGCTAGAATTTTTGATTTGGTGTTGCTTCCACAATGCAAAGCGGAATCCTTCCACCTTGCCATCACATGGCGCATGTCAGGTGGTCGAACGGGTCGCTGGGTGTTCTAGTGAATTGGGGTGTGCTTGTGTGTAAATCGTTCTATTACTGTTGCTGAAATTTACGACAAATGGCCCTGAACCGGCCAGGCGATGTCGATCACAGAGGTTCAGTCACTGAACATCAATGCGCCCTCGCACTGCTCGTAATTCACAGGACATGTGCTGAATTGTAGTACAGCGTTTCGGTGTTGGTGACGCGGAACGAAATTGACGCATCAAATTCTCTTGAAATTGTCTGCTATCAGGACGCGCTGCCAGAAATTAAGCATCGCCACCAACTGCCGGACGCAATTGGGAGAACGGCAAGGGACTGAATATCGCAGCAATTGTGGGCCCCATACTCAGGAAGGACAATTGGCAGTCACTGCAAGCACAGCCGACTATTGAAAGACCCAACTTGCTTCCCTTCTTCAGCAAGATTAATCCGATCCATTGATTTTCTACTTCACTTGTTGCATGTACTGTTCTTAGTATTCTGCTTGTCTACTGGAAAGAAGAAATACACGGCGAAAAGGCGCCCATTCAGGACCTGCACTCACCACGATTCGCTCAGGGCAATCCACAACGCCATCCAGCACGTTCAGCAGTCCAGCCAAGTTCAGCTTGTCGTCCTCCTTGTCAAACAGGAAGGCAATCTGCTCCCGGGTCAGTGTCCCCGTGGCCTTGCTTTCGGCTTCTTTCCCTTTGGCAAGCTCGCCTGCCGCTTCAGCAGGGTCCAGGGGGAGTGCTTTGGGCATAGGTGGGGGGGACTCTGGCGAACGGCGGAGCACCACGTTGCAGGCCGCGTCCACATCCTCCTGCAATACATGTCAAGACAAATAGGTGCAATCTCAGCACAAGTGACAAACAGCTCTTCGTGCGAGCACAACTGCATGGTGAAGAATGGGAATGAAGCATTGTGGCTTACGTTTCATGATAATGAATCATGCTGAATAAGCACGAGTGATTTATGCGTGTGCCAGTAAAAATTGGCACAGTTCAAAGCCACACGTGCACCGGTTCCGATCAAAGAACCAAACTTGCCAGCATTTGTATTGCTCTATGAGAGCAGCCAAGTGACCTGCAAAATGTGGATTTGACAAGTAACAACTGCCCGAAACAGTGATAGTGGTAGCATTTTGCCTGCACTCCTGCAAGATGCTGCTTCCAGTGTTTTTCAGCACATTAAACTGGGAAAGACTATGCCTCTATACCTCTGTGCCTGGCCCAGCTGCGTACCATGACAAAGATGGTCTTCTTGAAGGGGAGCCTAACGGCCCTACCCTCCCCTTCCACTTTGTATGCCTGGTCGAATACAAGGTCCATGAGCTCCTGGTTGGTGTGTATGCGGTTGAGGGGGACAGACACGATGCTCCTCTTGGTGTGCTGTGCGATGGCTTTGATCAACGACGTCTTCCCGGTGCCAGGAGGCCCATAAAGCAAGATCCCAAGCTTGTGGGGATACCCTGGGATTGCAAACTTCCCTGTCTTGTTCATGAACTTGTTTATGAGCTGCAGCAGGGGATCCTTCTCCGGGTGAAAGAATGAGGCGAAGGTCTTGTTCTCACTCAGCCTGTAGCGCTTGAAGAGCATGGCCTGGGCCTGGGAATCGCGGTCTGAGTCACCACCACTATTGCCCTTGGCAGCGATCCGGAACAGAGGCGTATACAGGTGCCTGCAAAGACAACAAAATGCAATCACTTGTTGACCTGTATATTGATAGCCCCTGGGCCTCAAGTGCATTGAACTGGAATGGTGCCAATGCCCCTCTGACGGCATTGGGCCCAGATGGTATGGATGCGGCAAGAAAGTGAAGAGCCGCAGCTACCACCCAATGTGGTGCCAATGCCCCTCTGACGGCATTGGGCCCAGATGGTATGAATGCGGCAAGAAAGTGAAGAGTCGCAGCTACCACCCAATGTGAGTTTGGCTCCAGTGGCAGCAGCGTGGACGCCTAGCTTCTGAGCCCCCATCAGGATGAGCAAATGCCTCCAATTTAACAGTGTGGATAGCAAAACACTCGGGTGTTGGCAGGTGTGAATTGAGTTGAGATCAAAAGACCAATGTTTCTGGCTGTCCAGTAGAGCGAGACCAGCAGCAAACGACTGTGGTACCCACCTGTCGTTGCTCTTGCGATCCTCCATCTTTTCCGTGTAGAACGCGTAGGCCTTGGCTATGAAGGCATCAATCCTCTTATCCCCATCCTTGGCGTCACTCTTCAGGGAGATGGTGTTGCGAATCTTTGTCTGCAGCATCTTTTCTCCCTTCTCGCTTTCGTCGCTCTCGATCCTGCAGGCGCCAGCTCTCTCAGTAACCAGGGCATTGATGCTACTTGCTCGATGGGGAGGGCTAAACGAGAAAAGCGCTGCTCGTATTCAGCCGAGTTCCGATCAACAGGATCAGCCCCCGAGAAGGTCGCGAAAGGAGAATCCCAAAGCTGGACTGGCGGGGAACAGGACGTCCATTTGCAGCCAACCTCCAACAGTTTCCCATCTAGAACTACACTGTATCATCACTTCCTGGCAGCAAGAAGAGAAACAGGAACGACAGAAAACGTGGAACGCACCCTCGCTCGCAGTCCTACCACTGAAAGCGCCCGCCCCGCGAACGCCTGCGTCGCGCGCGAGCGATGCTTGTCCGTCCGGAGATTCTCCCGCAGCCGCCACATTTTGGACCGCGCGGGGTGCGCGGGCGCTCACCTCTTCATCATCAGCCCCTCCTCCACCTCGATCCAGTCGTTCTGCGGCGGCAGCGTGCAGATCCTGCCGCGCTTCAGCTCCTCCGCGTACGAGTAGTCGTCCGAGTCCGCGACCGAGTCCGCGTCGCTGTCCCAGTCGCTGTCCTCCCTCCTTAGCCCCGTGTCCAGCATCAGCCGCACGTCGGTGTGCTTGAAGGGGCTCAGACCGGGGCGCAGCCTGTCCAGGTACAGCAGGAGCGCCTCCTGCAGGATCCTGTTGTCCTCCGTGGCCTGGTCCCCCCAGGCGTAGTACCCGTCGCCCGTCACGTGCTCGATGTCTCTGTAGAACTCCTGCCGCGAGCGCAGCCAGGTCTCCAGCCTGCTGCGCAGATCCTGCACCCAGTCGCTCGCGCGCCGCAGCACCAGCGGCAGGACCATGCACAGCAGGATGTCCACCACCACGCTGCCGGTGGACAGCTTGTTCATCACGCCGATCTGGGCGGCCGCGCCGGAGGACAGGCCCCCGGACAGGTCGGAGAGCATGTCCATCATGGGCTCGCCGGGCGGGCGGTCTACGTGGTGGAGACGGCCGAGCGCAAAGCCGGCCGGGGGTCGATGGGGGCGAACGGCCTGCGCAGCAATCCGCGATTCGTTCGGAAATTTTCCATTCCCCATACAATCAAATTCCAGGGTTGAGACAGCGACATGCCCCATTCAATCAACCTCCAGGGCTATAAGCAGCGACGCGCCCGGTCTGACCATTGTCCAGGGCCGCGGGGCAACCGGGTCCGAAGGGAAGCCGCGCAGGCAGGGAGGCAATGGCCCCAATGACATCGGCGCAAGTCGGGGCCGGGGGGGGGGTGAGGACGGACGTCGGGCGTCCGGGGAGCGGAGCGGCGCACAGCTGCGCTCGCCGGGGTGCTCACCTGTGAGCTGTCTTTGTCGCTTCGCCTGGGAGCCGGTGGGGTGGCCGGGGCCCCAGGCGCCAGGCTTTTGTGTCTCCGGGGCCAGTGCGTTGAAGGGGAGCCACCCTGAAACTGCGGGGTACCCGTTGAGAGGCCGCATGCCCGTTGCCTGCATCCGCGGCAGGGTAGACAGATCTCGCAGCCAGATTGGGCGGACACACAGTACCGCCAGTGACATGGTTTTTCTCACACCGCTGGCTTCTTGGAGTCGCCCAGCCGCCAAGCACAGCCGGTGCCTTTGTGTCATCTCGAGGCGTTGATGGCACTCGAGATGAGGAACCTGCTGTCCGAAATGGACCAAGTACGCCATTATGGCGGTGGCATACGTACACAGCGGAGTGCCAAAGCCTGAAGAAAATGGCGCAGTGCTGATGACAGGCGCATGAGAGCAACTTGGCTTGCGCAAGCCAATCATTCGCGGTACAGTTATGAAGACTGCTTGAAGGCTCGATTGGGACAAAGTTAAAAAAATACAAAACGAGGGGAAAGTGGCAAGAAATCCGGAGGACTGGAGATCTTTGGTTAAGCGCTGTTGCAAAAGAGTCGGTTTCTCTTGGGCGCAGCGTAACACAATTCTAAGGCAGGCTTGATGCAGCGCCATGCTGTGCCTTCGCGCTGGACACGTTGCGGGTAGATGTATTCATAGCACAAGGTGTGCCCTGCCTCGAATCCTGGGAGAAAAGCTACCTGGCGTTCAACGTTCCGTTTGCATTTGTCCACTTTTAGCATAACTAGAAATGGCGTGGAAATCTGGTCTAAACGCTTTGTCTGCTGTGGGTTAAATGCACCAAAAAATTGGGAGTGGGCCCATTTGTTGAAATGTCAACTACTCGTATCGACCTATTCTGTACTTTTGGGACATTCTGCACAAGGTCCAGCTGTTATGCACGCATACAACGCTTCTTCCGACACACTTACGCCAACACATGGAACAACATTTTATGGACGCACACAGAGCTCACTCCTGCCAATCAATAGGTACAAAAGTTTGTTGCCGTGTTTTGGAACAGAATACGTCGCTCTCAGGCACAGAAGCCTACTGGAAATGCGCACAACTCGGCTGTGTGGGCGCACGCACAACCGCCGTTTCAACAGTGGCTGTAACCGTCACCCCGTAACGCGGGGTGCGCGAAACCTTCGTGCATACATATATAGAAACAGGCTTCGTTCCCTCCCTGCGCGTCGTTTCCTGGGCCCAAGCCCAGACGCCCTCTCCCTCGGCGCTCATACCGACAGCGGCCTTCATGACGGATCCTCGGCCGCCGCGTAGCCGTGACTGACTGCCCAATCCCCAAACGAACGCACGGCTCCCGCCCAGGCGCCAGCGGCGTGGACGGACCACCGGCGATCGACGACAATGGCCGGCGACGACGTCACCGATTGGCCCCCTAGGCTCAGCCCGGCGTTCAAGGACTTCTTGGCGGGTGCGCGGGCGCGAGAACGCCAGCTGGACCTGATCGCGATGCATGCATCGGCGCGCCTTTAGGTCGCGTTGATTGCCGGGTCGTTTCTTCCGCGGCCGCGTTGATCCTAGTGTAGGGACCTTCTCGTGCGTCTCTTTGGGGAGTCATGGGGCGAAGTCGAACCCGATGGTTTCGAATCCTGTGAGCACTGAAGCTGGCTGGCCGATGGTGATCTGGGCCGCGTCATGGCTTTGTGGGATCAGTGTGAACCGAACGGGATAGAGGATCCTGGGCCTGCAAGCTCGCAGCGTTAGCTGCCCCTTTCCAACACCTGCGGTTCACACCGATTTGTCCCGCAACTCCTGCAATCTCCACCACACATCTTCTTGTCAACTTAAACGTGAAAACGAACATGGCCAGTGTCAGTCATTGCATCCAGAGTGGGCGTTTAGCTTGGCATTGTTTCAGAACTCCTGTCAACGGCGCCGAACTTGGCAGTTGCAAACGCACATCCCCGTTCTTGAAGTCAATTTCAAAACAAGTTGTCCCACCGGCACATCTTGGCACAAGCACCTCACAGTGGGCACAGAAACGTTCAGGGTTGCTGGCCGCCCTTTGAATGCGATATACTGTTTGAGAATAAAAGAAGGAGAAACAAAACTGATCAACTGTGCTGCCTGGATTCTTTGTTTGTTGCGTCCGGTCGATGGATTCTTCTAGTGGACAGACTGGTTCTTGCCACCTGCTCAGGGGGAATCGGAGGGATGGCTGGTGTTGTGGCTGGCCAGCCCCTCGACACAGTTCGAATCCGACTACAACAGAGGAGCAATAAATATGCTGGGACCGCTCAGGCGTGGGGTTCGATCGTGTACAAGGAAGGAGCTAAATCGCTGTTCAAAGGCATGATGTACCCATTGACAACAGCAGCATTTCAGGTGCAGGCTGATCTCAGGATTTGACATGGCTGCAAGTTAGCTCAATATGACAAAGGCAGACTCTGCCAGGTTCATGGTCAATTGTGTACCATGTTTCAGGCCCTTGACTGACCACCACAGGCATGTGGTGGCAGCACCTTTTTTGGCCGTCGTGGCAGAATGGTGTTCTCCTGCATCTCGACAAAAATCTGTCCAGCTCCATCACTTTGCTGCCCTGATGCTGAAATTGCCTTGTGCCCTTCTGTACCTAAAGTGCTGTCTGTTGCTGTCCCGTTTCCTGCTTCCACCCTCCATTGCTCTTGATGGCTCAGCAGTGGATGATCAAGCCCTCTTGTTGTCGTGCAGACAGCAGTCACCTTCTATTCATATGGTGCAGCCATGCGCATGATGAACCCCACATCTGATGGCCACCCCTCTTATTCGGACATTTTTGCTTGTGGTGAGGACTTGTGGGGCACAGCAAGGTGCACAACTCCTTTTCCAGTGTGATTCTTTTGTTGCCAGTGTGTCTCCCAGGCAGGTTGCATACCCTTTGCTGGCAGCCTCTGTTCCTCTACTTTGACTTTAGTGCAATGGTCACATCAATAGCATACCCAAGCCGTTTGGGACTTACCTATATTTTCAATGTATCATTTCTCCCACACAGCCTTTTCACTTGAGTGAATTGTGGTTTCAACCTGTCCAAACTTGCTGAGGTTGGTCTCGTTGCTCTGGTTGTTGTGCCTGTCACGCTGCTTTGGGCTCAGTGGACACACTGTATCTGCCCCTGTGCATTACAGAGATGCAAGACTGGATGGAATGCTTCAATACACAATTCCAGGTGGATCTGTTCACGATGCAGCAAGACTGCATCTCAATTACATTGCCCCCATTTCTGCACTGTATGCCTTTGTCTTCGATGTCTGCCACCCTGTGTACAGATGGAAGAGGTGCAAATATCTGTTTTGGCTAGCTGTGCCATTAACTTCCCCACAGCCCCGACCCGACCATCACCACCACTGCAGCCCAACTCGTATAACGTCTTGCTGGTGTTGGGTTTTCCGCCGTGTCCAACAAGTGGCAAGGGCAATGGGAGCAAAGGCCGGCATCATCACAGATGCTGCATTTGCTGGGGTTGTGGCAAGAACCCTGCTGTGCTTCCTGCGAACAAGTGCACAGATTGCAGAAAGGTGACACTGCAAGTTTGATCAGCTGAAAACAACAGCCGACTGCAATATCACCTGAACGCCCTCCCCAAAGGGACGTGGAGATAATGAAACTGTTTTATTTCTTGGTGCAGGCATCGTTGCAGGTGCTGTACAAACTTTCGCAGTCACACCAGTGGATGTCCTGAAAATTCGACTACAAGTCCAGACCGCAGTGCCTGGGCAAGAATCCTACATTGGGGCGCTCAAGATGGCCCGCCAGATTGCACAACGAGCTGGTTTGCAAGGTGCGTGGGCCAGTGCCTGTGGATGCTGTCGCCCACGTTGCCAAGGGAATGCAGATGGGCTTTTGAGACAAGGTGGTGCTGTTGCTGTTGGTGCCAAAATGGGCAGCTGGCCTCCCCAATCAAAGGACAGTGTGATAGGAAAATTCAGCCTTTGACTGACTATCAACATTGGCAGAGGTGCGGATTGTTGCTCCAGGACCATGCTGGCTGTGGTTGGCGTTGTGCACATTGCATGCAGCAACCAATCTGCCTGCTTGGGGTAACCAATTTGCTTGGTTGTAGCAAAATATGTCTGTTGCTCATTTTTTGCACTTGAGTGTTGTGCTTGTGATGCTTCACTGAGCACTCCAAATCCTTTTGGGCTGCTCAATGTTGATGCCATCCATGAGGGTATTCATTGCCTGGCTTACTTTGCGGGGTGGGTTTGATCATGCCTGCCAGTGTTCCAGTGACTCCAAGGGCAGTGCTTCAGCATGTTTGGACAAATGCAACTGTGAGGGCTCTGCATGTGTGGAGAATATGACACGAATGGTATATACACAAGATGGATCTGGTGAAGCGAAACACAGAACGTGACTTGGCGTCTGATGTTGTAATGCCCTTTTGACATAGAGCATGCTGTGTTATCATCGCCACTGGTGGTCTGCAGCCTGCACCTAGGTGCGGCTGTGGGCGAGCGCGTCCCAAGCGATGACCAGCGCTCACTGTGCTCGTTGTCGTTGTAGCAGCTGAGGATTCTCTTTATGTGAAAGTGTGTTGTACGCGAGGACGCATTGGAGTCAATTCAGCAACTCACGCCTGCCGCATGTGCTCCAGTCCATGCCATTTGTGAAAATGTCCGGACCTCAAGATAAGGTGTTCATCGGCATGGCTGATGCGCTGTTCATTGACTGGATGGGAGGGGCCGATGCCAGGTCTCTTCCGAGGCATTTCAGTAACCCTCTGGAGGGACGCTCCGAGCCATGGTGTGTACTTTTATGTCTACCACCGCACCAAAGACATCATCGACTCCTGGGAACGAAATGAAGGCTCGGCAGCCGGCGGGTCGTCATTCGGGATGTTTGTTGCAGGCAAGGGCAGGGCCACGCTTTCTTTTCTCTCGTCAACGGTCGCAGCAACAAATTAGCAGGCTCTGGAAGGAATGGCCAATGTGATTGGTGGCCCAAGATTAATGCTCTGAGCTCTGCTGCAGACTGCGAGCTGACTGAATAGTGTGTTGAGGCGGGGGATGAAGGTGCACAAATAGCAGCGTTGCTGGATAATTTGCAGCTTTGTCGCAGAAACTTGCAGCATCTGCTGGATGCCGCGTTTTGCAGTCTGAAGTAACCATGGTTTTGGTCTTGAGCACCGGGCAGCGGCTCTTCTACGAGTACGAACTGCATCCTCGCCTTCCCAAAAGCGCGTTGCTGCTTACCAAGTTGGCCAAACCCATGAACCGTTACCTCAGTCACCCACAAGGCAATGGTGAGAAGCGCCAAACAAACAAAGGAGATGGAGGTCTTTTCTGATAGGCTGCAAAATCGCTGAGTTTTGAGTTTGGGACTCGTAAGTGAGAATGTAGTATTTGGGAACAAACACGAGGCAGTTAGCGAGCGCTGCTCTAGCCTCGCACGATGCAAGCCCTTTGTCTGCTCAACAACCCTGTCTTTCCGCTATTCCAGCGCGTCGCTGTTGTATCAGCGTGCGGTCCTGAGTGCTCATCCTGCCGTTGCTCTTCTCATTTAAAGGCGGATTGGCTGGCGCGGCATCCTGGCTGTCCGTTTACCCGTTGGACGTCTGCAAGTCCCGGATGCAGGCCGAGGACCGGTGCAGGTCGCCCTACAGGACGTGGCTGGACTGCGCCGCACAGACCTACCAACAAGAGCGCGCAGGCGCATTTTGGAGGGGCCTGACACCCACCTTGTTCCGCGGCTTCCTTGTCAATGCCGCCATTTTCACATCCTACGAGAGCTGTATTGGCATTCTCGGCGCGTGACGCCGCAGAAACATTTCCTATAGAATCTGGCCAGATTGGCTGAGAGGTGCACGAGGGAGGGTGGATGCAAGTTGGTGCGAGAAGATGCTGTGTGTGGGCCTTTGATGCATGGTCGAACTTTTTGTTGATTTGGACAAGTGTAAGGGGAGGCGAACTTTGGCACTGGGTATTTGTGGGGTGCGCGCTGGCACGGTAATGCACTGCAACGTCTATGCGAGTGAATGTACTTCTGTTCTGCCATACACTTCATTCCTTCCAGCGATTCCTAAACAATGCACTATCGGGCATTGCCAAAAGGGAAATGAGTCGGGCGTGGCGGATGTTCAATCCGCGTTGCTGGCTGCGACACCACTGTGCGGACGTGTGCGGACACCATGCTTGGCGGCATTGAATGCACCGCTATTGCTGGGGCTGAGCTCCCAAAGATGGAGCTTTGATTGCGAGGCTCTGTGGAGGGAGGGGCGGTGTAGGTTGGGTCCAGTGTTGTCGCATCATAGGCGCCCAATTGTGCAATGTGTCAGATTCCCCGACGCATGGCACGCAGGTCGTCACTTGGGCGTCGTCGCTCTGTATGCGTCAATGATGAAATGATTATGTACTGTGTCTGACAGCAGAAGTGGCTGCGATCGTGCTGCGCCACCACTGGCTTGTCATGGAGTTGATGCTGAATCGGATTGAAGACGTTCTTGCTCATGCGCGTGCCGTTGCCATGTGTACGTGAGGTCAGCACACAAATTTGGAAAACCGCGACAGGCCTCATGGTTGTTGCTGGTTGCGTCCCGCTTTCTTTCTGTTTGTTTACGTCTGTGACTGATGTCCGTGACCATACCCAGTTTCAACCTCAGTTTTGATTTCAATTCAGGCGAGCGTTTGCATTTCAATCTTGTGCTGCACGAGTTAGTCGACACGGTGGGAGCCTCGCTGTAGCTTGGATGGCCCATCGCAGTGATGCATGATTAGGACTTGTCAACGCTGCCACGGCGATATGTATGCACATTAGCACAATTGCCCAATGTCTGCATTGCGACAACTACAACCTGTTCTTTGCAAAAGCCACTGGGCTACCCCTCTTTCAGCGCTCCCCGGAGAGGACAAAGGATCAGAGGGCTCTCTTCGCTCTCCACACTTGCCGAAAAGGTAGAATACCTTGGAGCCCCCCGCGAGACATTTCAATTCATGCGTTCTCAACTATCATCGGACGCTGTAATCGCGAGCATCCTTCAAATCCCACCAACTCTGGAGCACCGGCACTGTCGCCAAAAAATTGGGTCTCTGCGCCCCAGCCTGAGAAATCCTCTGTGCCAGAAAACGCCCTGCTCGCCGCAAACTTCACGGATCTCACGAATACTCCTCACCCAGTGACAACTTCAAGCCCCTGGCGAGCTTGGACGGAAACTCCAGCCCGTGAGGAGCTCCATACGCGTCCCGCTCGACGTGGCCGAGGTGAACATAATCAGGCGCGCTGTATCCTCTAAAATCGTGGCCACTCCTGCCAGTGTGCTCGGGTGATCCATGGGCCCTCTCTTCGGCACGGTGAGTGCCATATCCGTAGCGAGGTTCGCCAGGGCGGTGACCCACTTCCCGGACATCCCCCAGACGGTGCACGTATCCACCATCGTGCGCCCCCGCCTCGCGACCTCTTTTCTCCTCCGCATACCCCTCCAGCAACAAGCGGTCCCGCTCCGCCTTTCGGGGGCGCCCTGGACCCCCGTGCGCCGCCCAAAACCCCTCCCCACCATCAAACCCCATCGGCACGGGAGACGAGTTTACGTACGAATCCTTGAATTCGACGTCTCCATGGTTCGTCCCGAGGAATTCCGTACCGTGGTCGTCGATCCAGTCTCCCAGATAGGACACGGGCAGCTGAAAGGGGACGACGTAGAAGGTGAGGTAAGCCTCGCCCCGGTTGCAGATCTCGCCGCCAGACAGTCCCCGCACGTGGCGGCGCAGGCGCACGGTCACGGGGCCGTAGTGCCGCTCCTTGAGGCCCAGAGCCACCATCTGGACGCGGTCGTTGCCCGGCAGGCGGGAGGCCACGAGGTCGTGGTCCAGGGCCCCCGACACGTCGAAGTCACGGGCGCCCAGTGTGGGCAGCCTCTGCGTGCTGACGACGGCGAAGTGGGCGGCGCCGGGGCCCGTCACTGGGAGGCCGTCCTTGATGAGCGTGGAGCTGGCGTACAGGGACACGGTGGGCCTGCGCGACAGATCGATTTGCGGCCGGTGTTGCTGGCAATTGCTATTTTACGACCTGGCCACTCACCAGAATTGCTCGAGCACAAGCATTTGAAGGCCATGAAGGGATCCAAACTGTGACATTTGCGATGGGATGCTTGCTGCCGGCGCATGGACTTTGGGCAGTAAGACTCACCGTTTTGATGAAGAGGGGATGTTCTGAGGCTGTATGCATCGCGCTGCGCCTGGACCCGGCGATTTCGTGCCCCTAACGTAAGTGCAGCCCAACCTACGTTGCTTGCTTTCTGAATTGATTTCATCGATCCAGATTTGGCGATCGACAGACCCAATGTCAGATTCAATGTGAAAGCTCTCGATTCCCCGGCCTCCCACCTGAAGTCTCCACAGGCGCACTGCGCAGTGTCAGCGCACTCTCCTTGGCTACATTGGTCGTATCTTAGAGACTGATAAACGCCATCCTCCAAGAACATGGCCCCTGCGCAAGGAAAAGTCATCTTTTCAGTTCGGTTTTCTAACTGCGGTGCTCCCTGTGGAGAGCATCTGGTATTCGCTCATTCTGGACAGGAGGTGCCGTGAGCGATTTCGAAACATCAATTGATCGCTCGTTGGTATCTCCATCTCTCCCATTCTATCTTCCCCGTGCTCGGTCTTCCATCGTTGGCCCTATTTTTCCACAACTTGACAAAATCTGCTGAGACGCACACTGGTGTCGTAATGTACAAGGTGCCCATGCGTATGCAAGAAGCTTGTACCAACACAAAAACTCTGAAAATTTGCTTGAATATCCAAATGGATGTCCGCATGTAATGATGTGGTTGATTCAAACAATCATGCATCCATTCCCAAGTTCTGCGCCGACATTGAGATTTTCACGGCGCAGCCATGCAATGGGCCTTGAAATATGTCCAAAGTGATTGGGACGCTGGCATCTGTCCCCCACCTGGGCATTTCCAGATCCAATCTTTCCTCTCCTCATACCCATGGCTATGTCCCCGGCCGTGTATCTTCTTGCATTTTCCTTGGGTAGCAAACTGGGTGAGATGGACGACTTCCGGGAAGGGAACGTATGCTGGGCAGTCTCCGGATTTGCATGATGCAGGAAGCCGCTATTGGACACAGTTCAGTTTTTCATGTTCAGTCATGTTCTGGTACAGGCCAGGGTGCATGTGCAGCAGTGTCGGCGCAAGCCAAAGGCTCTGTGACCAAATGACAGAATTCCAGATCATAGCTCTTGAGGCGTTAAGGGACATGTTGTGCAAATTTTAGGTGTATTGACAGCAGTCGTATACATTTCGGAAGTCCATCGTGCATACCGGTGCGCAAAATGGTTCGTGCTGTGATATTGAATAGTGATGGTGAATAGGGTTCAGTCAAACCGATATCCTTGCACAGTCGACTTGATCGCCGATTTACACACAGAACCTTTATTCACCACCCGGTGTTCTTGGCACTGACGAACAATTTAGTTCTTCGAAATACTTAGCACTTGATCCGCAATCAATACGAAGATACTCACGTGATCACATTCGACGCTGTCCACGCAAGAGATGTCTTCGTTGCACACAGGATCGCACTTGCGGTTGGAGATTGCGTCGAAAAGCCCCGCGTCCACAATGATGTCGCCTCCATTGCAAACATACCTATAGGAAAACAGCAAACCTCACTCAGATGTCCGGCAAGCAGTTTTCGCCATGGAATTGGGGCCACATGCTGACACAAGCAAAACCACAAATAGCAATTTCTCGCAATCTTCCCCTTTCACACATGCAAGTTGTGGCCTCCACACGTCATTTATATGGCGCATGGATGCGGAGACCGTGAGATGCGCTGACGCGCACAGACGGCTTCACCAAAAGAGCACCTTCCTTCACAAACCAACCCTGCACGCGACAGGTCCGACCGGCCCAACAAACCCACTTCTTCTCCTTGTACAATCCGAAGTACTTCCAGGCGCAGCGCCCGCCGAGCACAGCCTCCGCCATGCGCCCAAACGCCTCCCCAGGCAGGTGCCGCAGCTCCACTTCCCTTCCGCCCTCCCTTACTCCTTCCCCTTCCCGCACCTCCCCTTCGCCGCCGCCCCGCTTCCCCTCGGCCGGTCCCCCGTGGTGATAATCACCCGGGTGCTCCACCCTGCACACGTACTCCATAATCCCCGTCTCCGAGCACTCTCCGGCACATGCAACCTCCTCCTCACAGACGGGCCTGCAGGTGTGGTCCCTGATGCCTGAGAGGAGCCCCTGCCCGACGAGCTTGCCGTCGGGAAGCTCGAACGTGGCTTCCTCGCCGCCGCTGTATATCCGCCTGGCGGGGCCCCGGCTGAAGGAGAACGCCAGTTCCTGAAAGTGGTCGCGGGGAACGATGCGCTCGCCACACCGCCAGTGGGAGACGTCCCCCTGGGGTCCGCATGGCCTCGGCCCGCACTCCTGGATCTCGGAGACCTGGCGAAGTGAAAGGGGTCTCGTCACGGGCAGGGATTCCGCCATCAGTATTGATTCTGGGTCAGGAGCTGTGCGCTTCCTAGCGCTGTGGAACCGTACTGTTACCTCCAACAGTACAGTGTAGTAGCAGTACAGCGGTACAGTGCAGCCAAAATGGCTTTGGCCTGTCGTGCAAACGTCGACATTAGTGCAAAGGAGCGGACGCATTTAATCAGCCTGATCGTTGTTGCACGTATTTTGCCTTTACTGCAGGGAAGAGGTGGTCCAATGCAAGGGGGCCCTGGCTTCGTGCGAACGCCAACGCCGAAGCCGCAATCAACAACAGTGAGCCGCCTAAGGACCAGTACGCAACAGAGCAAACTAAGTACT